ATGGATTTACTTGAAAGATGAAAGAGAGAGATTAGCATAGGGTATGTGTTTTCTTAAAGCTATATCCTGTGAGTTTCCATCCAGCAGCACCTCCACCAAATACATGACGATTGGGAAGTATAACTTTTTTAGTTTTTTCTGGAATTCTATAATTAGGCCCATCATAATTGTCAGCATCAGGCCCAATGTGCTCTTAATATGGCCCGGACTCCATGCCTTAAATATTCAACCATTCACCATGATACCCTGGTACTGGACTAATGTCTGTGAAGGGTACCATGTATGATAATGAATCTCAAACCAATTGCCTAATACCATCTGTCATGCCAAAAGCATGAGTTGGTGTTTGATGTGTGTTTATATATGTTAAGAGTTGTTTTTTGTAAACCTTGGGATGACATTTATTGTGGTCTTTGATCTTGCACCAGGCCTAGACCATAAAACATCTAGATAGCCATCACCAGAGCTGGACACAAGGAATTTCATAGAGTGGGCAATAGACTGCCAGACCAACCCCCTCTGATCCCCCCTACCCCCCCAGGGGTCTGCCCACTGAGAAACAACTAAGTTTGATATATAATGAGGGTGCTGGACTATCCAGTTCAGTTATTCATTTTTCTTTTGTCAGCAACTTCTAGGAGACCTATACCATCTAAGACTCCCACAAGAATTCTATATGGGGTAACTACATGTAAGGAATTTCTTGTGTTTTCTCCTATTTTATTTTATGTACTGTTTTGCAGTTTGTTATCTGTATGTCATTTATTTCTGTATTTTGTACTCAGCACTGTGAATCCTTTTTGTCAGATTAAATGTTTACTTAATCAGCCTGTGTCTCTGTTCTCTATGAGCTTCACTCTCCAGAGGAAAGCTCAGGTAAACACGTTACCAAAAAGGAATAACTATATATGTTTTATCAGTAAAAGTAGAACTGTGATACTATAATTCTCCTGTGTGTGGGGTAACCTAAGACGCCCGGGTTTAAAAGTCTTGGTGGTGGCAGTAGAGTATGTACTAAGGGGGATAGTGTAGAAGGGATTGCAGGGGTTAATTGAGTGGTTGCTGGGACTAGCAACAGGTAACCAGGGGTCTGGTGTCATTAACCCTGTCACTTCCACACTCTTCCCACTGTCTCGGCTGGGCCTATAGCCCACGCACGTGACACCATCTTAGCACATTCGTCACACATGATCTGTTAAATGACCAGCATGGGCTGGATTATTGGATAAACAACTGAGAGTCACTGAAGATGCAGATCAACAGCTGGATCTCCTGACCACCCTCGAGCTACTACGTCCGATACCACAAATTACTATGGATCAGTATTTCTGTGGAGCTATCCCTTGCAGCGTTTACTGCAGACAATGCAGTTAGTTGTGTGTGTAAAATTCCTGCAGATGGACTTCTGTCAGGAGCAAAGCAAGTATAATAATGACTGCTATTGTATTCCTGTAAGTTGAAGCATATTTTACTTATCATTATTTTTTCAATGAAAGCCTCTAGTCATTTGAAGGAAACTTTGTCAACTCTTCAATGAGACACGTGTCTTTATATCACACTATGTACATTATTACAGCTTTACAATAGTAAACAATTCCACGTTTACAATTCCACATTTCATGTAAAATGATGTAAATGCATTAAAATTAGTTACTGTAGCTATAGATAAAAAAAAAAAAACTCATTTGGATTGGAATCTGAATTTTCCTAGCTCCACATGTTGAAGGCAGGCACACAGAACACCTGGTATTTCGTAAACCCTATACTCAAGGACACATGCTGTCAATGTTTCTGTTTTTTTAGTTATTTAATGTATTAATTTAGAGTAACTTTTTATGATTTAAATATATAAAACATTTAGCCATTTATGCATTATCATTTATTCACCTGTCCTGAGACAACCCTCTGCTCTCACTCCCCACTAGTATGCTGCCAGAATGTATCAATTTCCAACATCCAGATAATTAAAGGGACACTTCCAGCACCATAACCACCATACCTACTCCTGCTGTAGTGGTTATAATGCCAGGAGTATTTTGGAACCTTCCCAGGGTAAGCAGTCAAACTTGTTTGAACGCTTTCCCCGTGGTTGGAAAGGGTTCCTGCTGTAGCCTTCTCAGTGAACTAAGCCTGACAGTGCAGCACTGCGCTCACTGCCTGCCAATGAATAGGGGCTGCCCTACAGGGCTTTGCTCAGGTGTTCTGATATAACCTCCTTGCAGGAGCTTCTGTTTGAAGAG